TGATTTTCAGGGTTAACATAAAATTTTCAAAAAATTTAAAAGTCTGAATTTTTTGACTCTTTCGGCAACTACAAAATTATAGATCGAAAATTTTCCTACAAATAAAATGTATTGCCCGTAATTAGTTCTTTCATTAAGGTCGTGCACATTTGTTTGAACCTTTTGGTAGTTTTCGCGCAATACTGCGTGCGATCTGTAGAGTATTAAACATGTTAACGTTAACAAAATTTTCTCTGAAACGGCTTCAATTTTTTAAAAACTTTTTTAAAGGGAACTAAATGTATTCTACGAGATGACATCATCGACATTTTTCTCTAACCTTTTGTTTGTGCAAAAATTACAAAAATTAATTATTTTTGACTAGCCTCTCACGTCGTTAATACTTACAACAGTGGCGTATTGTTACCATTACTGAATTTATGAATACGCGTGCTTTAAATGGTGTACTAAGTTTTCTGTGAAAACCAGCTCAAAATTTCGCATTTTCAGATGCGCAAACGCCATTTCTTAAAATGTGCTCCATTTTTTCTTCTAACTTTTTGTAGGGATAGTGCTGTTTATAATGACGTAGAATTATTTTTGCTGTATTATTTTGTTTTTTCGTTTTTCAAAAAGAAACATAATTTTTACAGAAAAATATTATTTTCAAATATCTCTCTCGGCGTTAATATGGACAAATCCAGTGATTCTATACATTATTACATTTCTGAGTAAAAGATCTTCAAATGACTTAAAAATTAAGTTTTTTGAAAACACAAAAGATTCCTATGAAAAGGAGCTTCAAATTTTGCATTTACACTAGAGCTTAACAGATATGTTTTTTAGGAACACCACGAAATTTTTCGATGAAAATTTCCACCGAGGACGAGGTTTTACTCCGATTTAATATTTTCAAAGTACTATTTGGAATATATTATTAGGAAACGGAAAAATTGAGAAAATCTCTTCAAATGTATTTAGGGTGGTGATAGACGGCAGACGCCGAGAGTATGGGGGCAAGACCGGAAAGCTAACCCACACCAAAGAAATTTAAAAAAAATACTACGAGAATGTCTGTGCCATTCTTTCGCTAGTTGATGATGTATAACTTCTTTATCAGTTATTCTCAACAAAACATACCAATAAAGGATGAGGTGGAAAATTAACTTGCTCGTTGCCAGAGTTACCATAAACAAAGTAATATAAACATCTAACCAAGCTCAACAGTATTCTTTGTGCACAACCGTAACATCAGGCGCGTTGAAACTATCTGGAGAAGTTTCCTGCAAATAACTACATTGGACGATTATGCATTAACATCGAGCACGTGTTTGAGGGTGGGAGAGAAGAAATGCAGGATCGCAAGTAAAAATACGTGCCGTTTAGGTAAGATAAAGATCTTTTTAACGAGAAGACATAGGAAGAGTTCATTCAATATTAGAACAATACTCTTTTTCAGATTGGTCGCTTATTGTTAACGTTTAATTCAAAGCATATGACGAGCAAGGACTGTCGAAATCTGATATTTCCTATATTATTCACATCTTTCAAATAATTTATGTATTTACAAGGTTACTATTCATTGTGCCGCAACCAGCAGTTTCAGAACCCGAGAAGCATGACGGGGATCGTACATAAACGGAAACAGTCTTATCTTACTTACTGCGATTTATAAGATTCATTTTTTTATAAAAAAGTATTTTTACATTTTTGTACTATATTATACATATTAAATTAAATATATTCTACATATTTTGGAAAATTATTAATATTTTCTGGAAAATTATTGCGCAAAAAATATTTACAGAATTATCAAAAATATTTTTGTTTCGGAAATAGGTATATTTTTCATAATTGCACCAACATGAATTCCTAATTGCATGCTGATGACAAGAACTGCCCCATGTGATGGCGTCGGCAGATGCTCGAGGTCTGTCTAGCATCTCCGTCTGAACCACTTATGTTGCGACAATTTCTCTTGAGCGCTGAGAATGTAACCTTTAGCTGTCAGTGTAGCTGTTTCAGTGACGTCATGTTTCTTTATCTTTAATCCGAATTTCCGAGAAATATTAGTAGTCGCAGACTAGCAATACTACGTAGGCAATGCTACAATGCTTTTTATCGGTCATTGATTTATCACATTTGTATAATCACTATCATTACTATAAAAAATTAAAAATGTTCTCTGGAATATATTAATCCATTAGTCCAAGAAATAATTGTTTTTAAAGTTGTTTTGATAATAAAAAAATCTTAAATTTTTCTACTTATCTACTAACATCTTAAATTCATCATTAAATTATGCTACTAAGAAAAACAATTTCCAGTCCATGATGAAGAAACAGAAAAAGATGTCCCATTCTTTTAAGGGCGGGAAAGTAAACAAATGTGCAACAGAAAAGAAAAGCTTAAAAGAAAAGTACTATCTTTCAAGAAAAATTATTTTTGTGTCTTAGATTGTTTTCTTTAGTACGTAAAAGGTAGCGGGACGAAATAACAAAATTAAAATCTCACAAGAACTACTGTTTATTATACATGGTGTATTACATGCATTTAACAAATATATGTATTTTCATTTTAAATTTATGAATTAATACATGCAAACTGAATTTACTTCAGAAAATTTCAAATTTTAATTTTCGCATGCCTCTAGGTTTTTCTATTTTTTGTTGAAACAAGACGTGATATGTTCATATGATTAGTACCATAATGTAGCGAAAGAATCATTCCAAGAATTGATTTAGGCTACTTCATTTAAATCTTAATCGTTGAAATTTTTTCTATGATATTGCGATTGAAAAAACACTAACCAAATCCATGGTCTCTCCAACTATTGCATATTTGCCAGATACATGCTGAATTCCGGAAAACTGAATATCATCTAAGGAGGCAGATCTCTATCTATTGTTTTTTCGTTTATATCTAATCATCTCAACATCAATTGAATCAAGATGACGATGTGTTACTGCACAACTGGTTGTTGCACAACCTGTACACCAGCGACGGCTCCTTGTACCTGTCGGCCAATGTACGTAGACACAAGAACTTACTTCATTAAAATCAAAACTCACACTTTGTATATAACCAGATTTATTTTATGTTATTAATACATCAATTTGTTACAGACGAAGGTACGTAAATATTTGAGAGTCCAGCAAAATGTTCAATAAGGAATAAAAAATTCCTCGAGAGCAGCAATTTACGTGAAGAATGAACTAAGCTTACATATAAAACTAACGTTTACCTTGTATTTACGTAAGCTTGCACCATTATCCCCGAGAACCTTATAAACAGGGTGGAAGGTTCTGTAACAAACCCGTCGAGTGATTTACACTGATGTATTTTTGGCTGTATTTATTTAAAAAAATATTTCATAAGATTATTCACATTTCACTCAACGTAAATGAATACGAAAAATACTGTTACCATTCAGCTCAACGACCCATTCCCATCATGCTTTAATCATTCATTTTTAATAAATAAATACATAACGATTAAAACAATTATAAAATCGTTCACCTTAATAAATCCTACTGCTTTTTACATTTCCACAGATTCACTTTCCAGCAAAGAAACAAAGCTTATAAACTTGTAGGCCCGGGTAAAAGATGGGGTTATTGGTATTAAATGGATTGTAAGGTATGTAAAAATATTAGTTGATAAATAATATTATAAACATAATTCTGATAAAGTAAACGACATTATGTATCTAATGGTCGTATTCATTAATATTAGTATAAGAAACGAAGGCACAAGAAATGAGGAACGTAACATTATAAACTGTTCTTCAAACTACAAAATGTAATTCGAGAAAATTGTTAAATGGGCCTAAAAGCTATTTCTTTAATGTTTTGATGAAACCTTACCTTTGAGAAAAATACCATGGTAACTTTTGGAACAAAAGAATACGAGAACATTGTTTTCAGTTGCAATAAAATTTGAAGGTTATCCAGATGTGGATTTATTAATAATTTTTCGTATTATTTAGAAAAATACTTAAAATGAAATTATTTTAGAAACGAATTGCGCCTTATCAGGTGAATATGTACATGTATAAGATTTGTGAAGTTGGAAAAGCTATTGAGATATTGTGAATTATTTAACACGACATTTTAAAAATATAATTAAGAAATGAAAACATAGCAATATTTATGTTTTTGCTCTTGAGAGGAACGACAAAATTACAGGTCGACACAGTGGAAAGTATCAAACCTGAAGCAAAAACAAGAAAAAAAAGCTTCACAATATTTACAATAAGAATAGTAAATTTCAATTTTAAGTGCGTGGGAACTATTCAGTTACCAACCAAAGTGATGAAATGGTTTTAAATATAATAATTAAAATAATAAGTTTCAGATTTAATAATTTCCGTATTTATAATTATTTTCTTAACTTTTCAATAACATCCATTACCCTCCGAAAGCTGTGTACATATGAATATAATTATTCACTTTTACTTTTTCTCTTCCACAAACTTATTTTTATGTTAATAATTCAGTTTTTCAATAACAGGTTTGAATTTTGAACATTAAATTTGAGAATTTTTTGAACTGCCAGAAGTATGATTGTACTTTGAAGCCTAAATTGTTAACAAATAACGAGTGTTACTAGTTATAACATAACCAACTAATTATTTTGGAACACTTAAGTGACTGCTTGATAAAAATAATTGAAAAAAGACTGATTTATACAAATTATTTGTGTCTCAAGAAATTCTTGCAATGTATGTACATTTTTCACTGACAATTTAAACTTTTTCAGACACGATCGTGAAAAAAATGAGCCTCCCTCCAAATCGTTGAGAGATCCGTACTGGAGTCGTGGTGGACTGCTTGTAAAGTGAGCTGCCTTTTTAAGTAGTATTGTCAAAAGAGAAACTAAGAACCACAAATATATAACAGTATAAGAGTTTACTGTTGTAATTCTCAGTACTAGTTCATAACCATGGGGTACCTCTTTTTATTTTTTACAGAATAGAATATTAAAATAAAAATTCCATCAATTTCTAATCGCTGCTGAAAATGTATCGCCAAGGACAACCAGGCATGATGCAGGGCCGACCAAACACGAATGGCCTTTACTCGCCGGGAATCACGCAAAATCAGCGATATGGAGGCAATCCTATGATGGCACAAAATCAGCAGAATCCATACAGATCACCATCTATGACGCCGAATCAGCCTATGATGCGAAATCCCATGCAATCACCTATGAGAGGGCAATATCCGCCCCAAGCACCAATGCAAAGACCCTGCGCGGGGAATCCGTACGTTCCTAAACTATCAAACATTTGTCTTTGATTTAACTATTTTAATTTTCATTAATGTTGTAGGTAAAAGGCCTACCTGCCAATTTGGACATTCTGTGAACTACATGAAGTCCACTGTGAACATAATAATGATTTTATATACAGGCTGGACTAAAAGTCCCGCAACAATCAAATATCTTAGAAAAAATGTTTGCGGGGGAAAATACGTATTTAATAATTTTCAAAAATCTATTCAATGATACCAAACGTGACCACTCAACCCCACCTCCAGGAGGAGGGGTGGGGGGCAACTTCGAAATTTAAAAATGTAAACCTCCATTTTATTGCTGATTCGAATTTTGTGCTTCAAAATACGTAAGTTTCGTTTGGAACGTTTTTCTTAATTCTTGACAGCGCTATAATCGGATAACTGCGATTCTCCTGATACCCTAAGAAAAGTATGGAAACTGTTTAATATCTCGTGTAGTACTCCTTTAGTCGGAAGACAAAAAAGTGTTTAATGTAAAAAAAATCTATTCAATGGTATCAACACAAGCCCCCAACCTCCTGGGGGTGGGGTTGCGAGGAGTGCGACAACTGCGAAATGTTAAATGGAAACCCCATTTTTATTCCAGATTGGATTCTCCACAAAAAGTAAGCAAGTTGTATCTGAATTTTTTATTCGCGATAGAGGGCGCTGTAATCGTAAAAACTACGATTTCCGATACGCTTTATGGAGAAATGACTTGGAAACGTAGAAAATAAGAACTAAATATTTATTATTTAAGCAAAATACACCAAGTATTGGAAAATTTAGTACCCTCGGGTTTCAGTTTGAGTGCAAGCACCTGTGCCGTGCCTCTCGCAATAGGGGTTTTCATTTAACATTTCGAAGTTGCCCCCCGACCACCCATAAGGGTGGGATTAGGGGGAGCATGTTTGTTATCATTGAATAGATAAGTTAAAAATATTAAACATCTATTCTTTATTGTCCGGTTCGATGTGTATTTCTCGAGATGTTAGACCGTTTCCATATTTTTTAGGGAATCAGGATAAATCGTAGTTTTCTAATTGTAGTTCTATCTGTCAAACTTAAAAAAAAGTTTCAGCCAAAACCAACGTATTTTTTGGGGCAAAATTAGAATCCGCTATAAAATTCGGGGTTTTCATTTAACGCTTAGGTGTTGCCCCCCGCCCCACCCCCAGGAGTGGGATAGGCTAATCAAAAAGGAAGTTACACTAGCTCACCGCAAGAGCGCGCTGAATGTCATGCTCGTGATCAATGCGAAGCAAGCTACAGTCAATGCTGACGCGTCTCATAGGAAGATTGGTGTGATATTACTCGCGCAACTTTAATACGCACAATAAACAGTTGAAAGCAAAAGCTCGCAGCGAGCCCTGATGACAACATTCCAACACATCTTTACTGGAGCGAAATAGGAACAATTTTCTTTTGAAAGCGAGAATTTCTATACGTTATTTTCTCAAACAAATCTAAAGAAATGACAGAAGCGGGTAGAGATCTATCACATGAGATACCTCGAACTCGTGAGAAAGTTAGAACGCAAAGTATTGAGAACGTTGCAAAGGCATGGTTGATTTCCCACAGATTTGCATTGCATCATTAAACCTAGTGGCTGATATCGTATCTAGTACCCCCACTCTACCCTACCCGCATTTCTTCAATCCATTGTTCAAGAAAAGTTGCGCGAGTAATATCCCGTCGTGTTTTGGTCGCAGAGCGGGCTAGGTTCAGTAACGCGTCTAATATTCACATCAAATCGGAGGTGCGTTCGTTTTGTCAAACGTTAAACCGGTTGCGTATGGCAATTAAAAAAAGCGGCGGAAAAATTAAACGCAGGTGTGATTTTGTTGCACGATAACGCAACACCTCAAACGTCCGAACTGCAGTAGCAATTCAAGTGGGAGGTATGGCAACATTCTCCATTCAGTCAAGACTTAACATCATTCAATTATCATGTGTTGGGTAAGATGAGAAAGAATCTAGGGGGATGGCGATTACGAAACGATGAGGTTGCTGCTCAAAATGACTGCTGGCTCGAAATGGTGAAATAGCGCTAGAGATGATTTCTACGCATACAGAATAGAAAAGTTGGTTGACCGTTCCGAGAAATGTTTACAATCCGTTGCAGACTATGTGGAAAAGTGAACGTATATTGTGTGTTGTCATGTTGTCATGTTGTCTATGTGTAGATGGTTTCGTAAATGGTCATAACTTGAAAATGTAACTTACTTTTTGATTCACCCTCGTATATCCGGCATATAAAATCCATCTGTCATAGTACGTGATGCCAGATGCCAGGCATCTCCAAACTGCAAGCTTTCAACTGAGCCCACACCCACACCTTTAGCAAGTCTGAAGGCTGCACAATCGAAACTAAACCTTGAGCAATTAGATATTTACGTATTAAAATTACAATGTATACGTTTATTAAAAATAGGCATTCATGTTAGCCCAAATTCGTTAGCCCGTAATCATACGTAAGGTTAATTTACTTTCTTTCAACCCACGGGTAATAGCACCTTCACTTAATATGGAAACGTTGAAAAAATTGCGGACTAGTTCCCAATCTCTTGAATATCCGAACAACTTAATTTGTTCATTTGAGTATATCACAATGCTGGCTGTAAATAGTTATTAGCTGTTGGGTATTGAGATGTACAAAAATGAAAATTTTTATGTATTCTTCCTTTTGAATTAGATTCGCATATAGCCAGAGAAGCAAATACTATATGAATGTTGGACCAGGAAAAACGTGGGGTTACAGCTACTAGAAGAAAAAACTAGGTATGTGAAATATACTTGGAAGTTAATACAATAAATTAAGACAATCAAAAAATTCTAAGACGATTTAGTAGCCATTTAAAAATAAATTAAAATGTCATATAATTTGTCATGCATTATTCATGTTTGGTAGATGTAATTGTGCCCATAATATCCATATTTATATAGAGAGATGAGGGGAAAATGTTATGAATTTTTCCTTTGGTAGCTTAGTTTTCTAAATATGTGCTTTAATTGTTCTGCGGACCACATAAATCTAAACGTGTGAGTGAATTTTTACTAGGATTAAAAGTGTACTTGTGAGGAAAGGCATCCAAGTTTTGATGTTTGAAGTTTTGTTCATGAACTGCCATACTGGCGACACTCGAATAAATTCAACCTCTTAATTTGAGGAATATTGAATTATTGTAAGAAAATATTTAGGCTATTAAAAATAGAAATACTACTTAACATTTTTATTTACATTACTTAAATGGTAAACATTTTTATTACAGATACAGTTCATCACCAGCATGCATCTCTAACGGCACATATTTGAAATATCAAGAGATCTAAACAGCTCAAAGAACTTCATTCTAAAGAATGTTGCTGAACAACGCAATCATGTAGGCTCAAAAAGGAATAAAAAAATTGAATAACCAGAAAATATATGATTTTTTTACAACTCTCTCGCGTACTACATACGTAAGGTTGAGAAAATTATAGAATGCTGCAGCGAAAAAAAATAATTTTCTGCAGAAAAACTCCTGTTATAGATTCCCAATTCCGGAAGCTAGATAATTGCTTTTCCTTACGTAAAAAAATACTTCCATTAACAGGAGTGGAGTAGGGAAAAGTATGGGAAATAAAATAACCTTTACAGTTGTAACTTCAAGAGAAGTTTGGAGAGCAATATCATCTACATAAATATCACTTTCAACAACGATAGCTACACCACCAGAAGCAATTTGAGCATAATTCCTATTACAAAAAGATGTAGTATAACCAGGTTGTTTACCAAATTGCCTTTAAAGTTTGTTTTCTGTAAACATAGTATGTGAGGAAGATTATCATTAACTAATAGTTTCAGGGATGGTAAATCGGAATCGAATCCATTACAATTCCATTTAAAGATATTCATTTCTAGTTCATATTCACATGTATCTGCATCCGAATCATCAATTTGTTCTTGTTCACTCTTCAACTTACTGATAATACTTGTAAATATATACTTTATTGACATTTCTGTAAGTAGTGGATAAGATTCAGACATTATTTGGATAATAGATGGAATATCAAGTAAAAATTTAGTGGCTATTATTGTTGGGTTTGGGGATTCTGAAGGTTTGTCAATGAAATTTTTCAATTGGTTTTATGTGGGGGGGTTATCAACTGAGTTAGTTTCATACTTTGTCTTTAATGGATCAAGAAGTTCATCTAGAGATTTGGGAGTGATCTTGACATGAATATTAATATGATTTGATTCTTGACCAGTTTCCTTTTTCTTCTTAGTTTTCTTACTACTATCCAAATTTGTCTTATCTTATTACTTTCAGAACCGATCTGAAATGAAGATTTTGATGAGAGGGTTCTCTTAGGAATAGAGGGGAAATTACTCTCATCAACTGCAAGATTTTTCTTTTGGCAATGTGGTTCAGTAAATTCAAGGGAATTATTAGGTAATTAATTTTCATTTGTTAAATCATATTCTATGCAGAATATTGAATAGATTTGTTCTTACATTGGCTTGCTAAATGACCAGACTGTTTACTTAAGAAGCATGTCACATCATCTGTAGAGAAGAAAATTCTATATTGGATACCATCATACAATATTGTGGTTGATTCTGGAAGACAGCTAACATTTTCAGGTGTTATTAACACCTGTCTCCTGAAACTCATATGTGTAAATCCTGGTTCAGGAATACCAGCTCTAATAAATGAGATATTGGACTTTATATGGGTATTATGTTTTGAAAATTCTTGTTGGATAACATCATCTGGTATCACAGAGCAAAAAATAGAAATTATTACCCTCTTAAGATTATTGATTAATGGTCTTACATTCAGTTTATGACACTTGATAGTTAAAGTAGGATACTTGCTAGTAAGGTAATATGCTGATATTTTAGTATTCAGAAATACACATCCTCATTTGATATCCGCGACACGAATCTAATGTCATTAGGGTTCATTATTGTAGGAAGTTTAGTAACCTATTTTATGAAAATACCTTCGTAAGCTTCTATGATTACTCCTTTATCTTTGGATGGAAATCACTCACAGTCTCGGCGTAGGTCTTCTTAACTTGATTTTCAGGAGCTTGATTCATCAGAAGTTTGGTTATGTTGTTGTTTACATTGGGATTCAGCCGCGTTAGGCTGACTTTTAAATATATGTTATACTGGATTAGTAACGATTTCAAATAGACGTGACAAAACACTAAGACACAACTGATAACACTGCACTCGCAAATATGACAAGAGACGGCACAAACGGAGGTGTTACCTCTACGGTGTCTGGAAGCGAACTGTTTAATTTTGTTTCTACCTGCAGCTTCAGGATATTATCAGTTCTATTCACAAAAACGCACCACATTTTTGGATTAATTTTTTTAAACCATGCGTTTAACAATGCTGAAGTCCGAGTTTAAAAAATGTAAATTTTGGAAGATTACATGAGTTTACATTTTTTCGGTGTTTTTCTACAGTAGTGTAAAGAGAGAGGGGGAAGGAGAGAGAGGGAGAGAGAAAGAGGGAGAGAGAAAGAGGGTAGAGAGAAAGAGGGAGAGAGACAGAAGGGAGAGAGAAAGGGGCAGAAGAAGAAAGAGGGAGAGAGAAACGAGGGAGAGCAAGAAAGAGCGCCGCCAGAGAGAAAGAGGGAGGAGAAAGAGGGAGAGAGAAAGAGGGAGAGAGAAAGAGGGAGAGAGAAAAGAGGGAGGAGAGAGAGAGGGAGAGAGAGCAGAGGAGAGGAGAGAGAGCGGAGAGAGAGAGAGAGGAGGGAGAGAGAGGGAGAGAGAAGGCAAGAGAGAGGGAAGAGAGAGGGAAGAGAAGAGGGAGAGAGAGGGAAGAGAGGGAGAGAGAGGGAGAGAGAGGGAGAGAAGAGGGGAGAGAGAGGGAGCGAGAGGGAGAGAAGAGGGAGAGAGAGGGAGAGAGAGAGGGAGAGAGAGAGGGAGAGAGCAGAGGGAGAGAGAGAGGGCGAGAGAGAGAGGACGGCGAGAGAGCAGAGGGAGAGAGAGAGGGAACGAGAGCAGGGAAGAGAGAGGAAGAGAGAGGGAAGAAGCGGGACCGAGAGAGGGAAGAGAGAGAGGGAGAGAGCGGGGAGAGAGAGGGAGAGCGAGGGAACGAGAGAGGCGAGAGAGAGGGAGAGAGAGGGATGAGAGAGGGAGAGAGGGGAGACGAGAGGGAGAGGGGCCCGCACGAGACGAGGGCCGCAGAGGCGGCGAGGACGCGAGAGGGAGAGGGGGAGAGAGGTGGAGAGAGGGGAGAGAGGCGGGGAGAGAAGGGGAGAGGAGAGGGGAGAGAGAGGGGAGAGAGAGAGCAGAGCAGAGAGAGGAGAAGAGAGGCCGCAGAGAGAGGCCAGCACAGAGAGAGGGAGAGCGAGGGGAAGAGGGAAGAAGAAGGAGAGAAGAGAGAGTGAGAGAGAGGGAGAGAGAGGAGAAGGAGGGAGAGAGAGCGGGAGAGAGAGGGAGAGAGAAGAGAGAAGAAGGAGGAGAGAGAGAGAGCAGAGAGAGAGAGAAACACTTATGTACGTTTTGAAAATCAAAACAATAGAAAAATAACGCTTCTGTCATTTTAGAGTGTAGAATTAGCACTATCCCTACACAAAGGTTACAGAAAAAAATTGGAGACGTTTTTGAGAAAATTTTGTTATTTATTATTGCACGCAATAATATCATAAATGAAGGACAAATCTATGTATTTAATGTTTACTTTCTCGGATCCTTACATATATACGTGTTCCGTGGACGCCACCAAGTCCTCGCCGGCGGGTCATCACTTCGACGCCGTGCACTTGCGCCCGGCAGCCCCACCGCCGGCCACTCCCACTGCCGGTGCGTTCGCCGGATGGTCTTATAGTATCTACCCTTACCCTCAGGCACTTCCTTCCGCGTCCCCGAAACTCAACCACAACGGCAAAATCTCTGCTTTCGAGCATAGCATAGCTACTCCCCCACCGGGACCAACTCTATAGTACTGGACGTGACACCACTGCCTGCGGCAGGGCAGAAGATTTTCATTCAGTATGCTTTGTGTCTCTACGAGTAACCATACTCGTTTCGGCAAGTCGGCTAATTCCGTCGCAGACGGACTTTGTCCTTATAATTCTTCTATTAGCCTCGAGGAGATGCCGGCAGCAGCTCCTCGATCGGCAGTCCGCAGTGCATTTATGCAATTCGAGTATGTTTATGCCGATTCTACACGGCACATGCTGTGTGGTATTAGTTTTCCGGCCGATCAAAGCGAGCCACTGCCGCTGACCCGCTGCCGTCAATGTGCTGCTCGTTATGTGCACGAGTCTCTTCCCGCTGTCCCATTTCGGCGCTGCATTCGCACCTTGCCATTGCTGGACCCTGTGGGAGAGCGCATTCCAGCATTGACCCGGCTGTGCAACGCCGGAATCACAGTCTTACATCACCAGCAATTTTAACGTAACAAGTTCAATTTTGCCCTCGGTACTGTGACCTATACAGGTACATCAAAGGAACTGAACAGTGACAATTCAACAGAATTCCAGTCGCGTAATGTACAACACATTCATCGAAGTTGGTTAATTTCGTTTACAAGACATTTGGAACAATTAACTCAGTATTCATAACAATTCATTGTGCACTCAGCAATTTAATTTGTAACCTTTGTGTTAATAGCAATTGAATAAATAGTATCTGCAATGTAAATAATAACAATTTCAGTGTCTTTAGTCAAACTCTTCTTACTCTTTAAACCAGTGCCATACCCCCCTCCCCACCTGGTAGCTCACAGCCCGGCGCGGGGTAAGTTTTTCTTTGTGCAGAGAAAGGACCTGGTCAACCCGCTAAAGCAATGTCCTCCGTTTCAAAGAATTCTCCCTTTCTGTGTACAACATGCAGGATAGAGAGAGTGTTGTAATGCTGCGGGAGAAAAAGGGAGCAAATGTTCAGCAGAAAAACTCTTATTGCCGAGTCCTGGTAACGAAAAAGTGTAGAACGAAAATCGAGATGCTTACTATAGATTTTTCTAACACGTGGTGTTGCCAGAAAATACCGAAAAGAGAGTAAAGAGAAAAGAGTGAAAATAGGAGACAAAAATTCTTCACATTAGTCTGCTCGATAAAGTAAATAATGTCGAAATTTGTAAGAAAAGTGGCATCATAGATGCAGTAGAACAGGCAAATAATTTAAAATGGCATTCGACAGAAGGTAAGACCAACTCATATGGGCACACACAGTTACAATGTGGGACTAAAGACAAGGCTGGATGCACCTAGGTTGACAGAAGATGGGATGGGTGGACTTCTTCTGTGTAGCAACGGGTGGGACCTGGACCAGAACGGCAAAAGCTAGGTCATGAAGAAGCCCATGAACCAACGGAAGACAGACTGCGCCACCAACCTA